ATCTATCTATCTATCTATCTATCTATCTATCTATCTATCTATCTATCTATCTATCTATATATCTTTCTATCTATCTATCTATCTATCTATCTATCTATCTATCTATCTATCTATCTATCTATCTATCTATCCCATCTAAATACTTTTCTAAATGAGTATTGTTCGAAAAGCACAAATTGCTTTAGTTCTTTGTTTGTTTTTAGAGCCGATCCCCCACCCCCCACCCCCCAATATGAGGACATTAATTGGTTCTAAATGCTTAATTTAATTGATATCTGACTTTACGTTGAACACCACCTCCTCTTTTTCCTCTTCCCTCCCCGATGAGTCAAATGCTTATTACTAAAAGTCATAATTGTTGCAACAATTACAGACACAAATAAAGAATTTTTTATTTTTATTTTGGGTGGGGGGGGGGGGTCATTGTTAAACAATCCTGACTTTTAAATATATATATCTCTCTCTCTATATATATATACATATATTATAGCCTCACACTTTCAACACTTTGCTACTACTAGCGATTTTGTCCCCCCAACAGCAGAAGATGAAGTGTGTAACATTTTCAAAAAAAATAATGGTCTTTTCAAAAGTAAAGCTCTAAAATTTCATCTGTGATTTCCAGGTTGCTACAGAGCTTTGACGGCCTGAGAGATCAAAGACTTTTTCCAAGAGTGACTTCGATACCGTATCCGATTCCGGGTATTTAATCGAACTCTAGCACCGGGTCTGATAAGACAGCGCACGTGTTAAAGCCCCCCTTTTCCCGACAGACTTTAAAATGCATCAGGTTTTTTTTAAAAACTGAGCAAATGTTCTTGTTTTGTGGGTTAGGGTGGTTTGTGAAAGTGGTGGTTGGGGGGGGGGGGGCGGGGGGATTTGTGGTAAGTACTGAATTTTTTTTTTCTCATTAAAACATGCGAAAGATGATGAACCGCAACACTGATTAATAATTTCTTCTGTTTTATTTTAAAATGAAGAGATCCGATTGTGGAATTTGTTTTATTCAAGACCATAATTTTATTTTTTAAATGGCTCATGATATAGAGAACAAAATCCCCCCCTCCCCAACCCCCCACTTCACTTAAATCATGGCAAGTCCAGACTGTGGTCATCTTCCAGGACGTATCTGCCATCTTGACCTCGCCTTAGGACAACCGTCTTGTGTTTGCCTGTCTCGTTCAGAAAAGCCAGCGCTGTGCGCATGTCCTTGACCGACTTCCAGTTGTCCTGACCTCGGTCGGGCTGCTGCTTGTCCCGGCGCCCGGCGTCAACTCGGTGACGGCGTCCGCTGGAGTCAGACCTGGGGCTGGAGACGCAAGACTTGCAGTTTGAGCAATTTTTAAAACTAGAGATTAGCTCAGGAACAGTAATGAGACATTTTAGTATGTTTATTTTTTTTTAAAATATTAACCAACCCCTAAAACCGAAGTTTTTCGAAAAAATTCTCCACCTGTGGGTCGTGACCCCTTTGGAAAAGGGGGGGGGTGTCGCCCGACCCTTTCACAGGGGTTACCTAAGACCATCTGAAAACACATATACTTTACAGTTATAAAGTATAAACGAAATTAATTTTGAGTTTGGAGGTCGCCACACACAACCTGAGGAATCGTATTGAAGTGTCGCGGCATTTAGAAAGGTCGACAACAACTGGTATACATTCTTTTATAAATGGTATAAATGTAATGTCGAGTATTGGTGGTGGTTTGGGGGGGGGGTCTGAAAATTCATTAAGACATGCATACAAGTAACGCATTTTATAAGAATCCCAATTAGTGGCCCCACCTCCCCCAATTAGTGGCCCCACCTCCCCCAATTAGTGGCCCCACCTCCCCCAATTAGTGGCCCCACNGGGGGGGGGTCTGAAAATTCATTAAGACATGCATACAAGTAACGCATTTTATAAGAATCCCAATTAGTGGCCCCACCTCCCCCAATTAGTGGCCCCCCCTCCCCCCATTAGTGGCCCCACCTCCCCCAATTAGTGGCCCCACCTCCCCCAATTAGTGGCCCCACCTCCCCCAATTAGTGGCCCCACCTCCCCCAATTATCGCCCCCATCCCTCCCCCCAGGCTCACAAATCCACATACTTTCATGCCCGTGTGCTGCATTAGTATTCTAATGACCCCCCGCTTCTACATTGCTAATTTCTTTCATAAAACTATTTAAAATTTCAGAAAAAACAAAAGTAAATATTACACACTAAATGAACTTGTGATATTTAAATTTAAAAATATATATATATATCTAATTTAAAGCATTGATCAGAAATTTTTTTTTGTATCTTGAAATCAGTATCATCCTTTTTTTTTTTCCGGTCAACTTTTTCCGCTTTAAAAATAGGATCAACTTGATTTTTGGTGGTTGGGGCTGGGGGTGTGGCTGAAAAGTTGAACAAAAATCTGTTGTCGTGGGCAAGTGATCGATGTCACACGTTTCAGCTCGATAGGTTGTGGGGGATTAGGCGTCCAACTATTTTTACCGGCCACGAACAAAAGCGAAGTTAATATAGAAGATTGTCTTTTGAAATATGTATGAAATAGCAGAGCACCATTTGTAGGGGGCATGACAATGAAGACTAGATACCTAAACAATTATTTTTTTTTTGCCACCGAATTGTCACAGCATAAAGATTTGCCCATAAGATAAATAGTATTATAAGGACATCCGTCCACCTCATCTACACTTGGAGTGGACTTAAGATTCCATCCCAGGACAGAGTAAAAATAGGATAATCACGTCTGTCCTTTCTTTCTCCATGAACCAAATCACACGGCGTCATTCTGCAGCCGTTGCTACAGTTTCCCGCCAAGGAGAAAGGAGTAACCTAAATCCTCTTTGACTGCGTCTCACTCTTTGATATTTGACCTGTAATGACAGTGCACCCTTGAAGCCCCCCCCCCCTCCCCCTGAAACACTAGAGTCCCCCCCCTTGTTCTATCATTGGTATCATATGGTCTCGATGTGACCTTTGGGGGGCCCGTTACCTGGTATCGCTGTGACCTTTGCTGACCAGTTTTTGCTTAGGCGTGAACTTGTTCTTCCCGGTCTCGCCTTCTGTGTCTGACTCTGCGATGACGTCATCCGCCGCGGCGAATTCGTTGGTGACTTCGGAGTCGCTGGATTGCCTGTGACCTGGTTTAGCCTGGCATTTGGTGAGAGGGACCAGAATAGTAGGTTTGAACAAATCATGGGACTGAGAAGATTAATAGTATTTACGTTAAATAAAAGTTAACATAGGATTGTAGAAGATCCAAGTAAAATAGACTTCAAAATAAAACAGAGTAAAAAATACGAGACTATTATTCAGAGAACCATTGAATCATCTGATGAGACAGACGCGTTATAATTCACTAGACATAGTATATATATATATATATATATTTAATGTTGTCCCATCTGTAATAATCTAAGATTCCCTCAAGTTTGCACTGAAAACCTAATTATCATCGAATTAATATGTTTTTTTGGTGTATAGTTAGATCTATCAAACACTCACCATAGAGTGTCTCTCAAACTGTTTGACCTTGTGCCTCACTTCCCCACGTTTTCTCTCTCTTTTTTTCCTCGCGGTCCCCACACCTTTGTCCCCTCGTGTCGTTGCTCTCTCTAATTTTTCCCGAAAGTCCCTCTCTTCTTCCGTTTCGGCATCTTTAGCTTTTGTGGACTTAAGTCCTGGAGATTTCTTCTTGTTCCGGTTCGGAGATTTATACCGTTGGGTTCTTTCGTTTTCGCGATTGGTTTCCATGGTAACCCATTGTTTGCTCTTGGATCCTGGTGATTTTGTTTGTCTTCGATCTACCTCATGGCTGATTGGAAAAATTGGTGAGGGTGGGCAAAGTGAACAAAATAACATTGAAAATAACAACAACAACAACAACAACAACAACAAAAAAAAAAAAAACAACAAATCTTACATTTGTGTGTGAATCTAAAAATAGATTATGACGAGATTTTGAAAATTAAATATTACAGAAAAGTGAATCTTCAACTTTCTGAGTACAGGGCGCCTTTGTAAATTCCACCCCCACCCTCATTTTCCGTTGAACTTATAAAAAAAAAATTAATCCAATCATAAACAGAAATTAGCAAGCGATGAATTTTCTTAATTTTATCGAAAATCGATTTCCTCAAATTGAGAGTGATGTGAATAGAATGAAAAAAAAATTAACAACCGGAACATAATAAAAAGTTTTTTATCAGTCTCTTTAATGACCCATTCAGTGAGCCTCTTTATAAACTAAAAAAATTGTCCCATTCGCCGTCCTACTTTATGAAGAAAAAAAATTTCCCATTCGATGACCCACTTTATAAACAAATAAGATACAATCACAACGGACTAATTAAAAGAAAGAAAAAAAAAAGCTAATTTTTTACCCAAAAATGCAGCGAGGAACTTGTTGGGCAGATATGGCGCTTGATTTAAAATGGACGGGATCGTTTTGAAGGGGTGCTTAGCCTTGGTTGCACCGTGTCATCCTTGGTGTAACAAAATGATTTCGACATCTAGTTTTGACGGAAATTAATGGAACACTCTGTGGTTATGAGTTCCTATTGCACTAAATCACAGAAACCCTGATGTTATGCCGAACATTGCAGGTGCTCGTCCGTCCGGTCCATGTTTGTCGGGGAAGGAAAATATGTACCATTTCTAAAATTTAACTGTTAATCAAAAACATTTCCATTTATTTGGACCAATAAAAGAATCTTATCTTATCTTATTTTATCTTATCTTAACTTAACTTAACTTATCTTAATGTTGAAATTTTCAATGTCACGAACGCCGCTGTATAATTTGTCGGGGATACCCGTATCTCATTTTAGGACTTCTAGTTAAGATGATCACCCATGGTTAAAAAATTGAACAGTTTTGAATTTAATCATGTGATAGCATTAATTATCCTTGAAAATGATCCTAAGCCCTTCTTTTTACCACCTTTATCAAGGCGTCTAAACGTTTTATTTCTTCAGTGCGGCCTTTTGAAGAGAGAAATTTATGACATTATTCACATTTTGAAATATCGGAACATTGGATTTTTGTGTGGACTTGTTAGGTAGAATATAACTATGGTCAAAGAAGTCTGTCATAAAAATTTTGAAAGTTCTCCAACATCGACTTCACTTCGCTAGTGAAATTTAAAACACAAACAAAGCAAAATAAACACCTAATATGTAAGAGTATTGTAACGTTTGTTCTTTATTTATAGAAGAGAATATAGTTTCTAAGAATTTTCCACAACTACGTAATAAATTTATTTGTTAAAACAATTCCACTAAAATGGTCTTCAGTAAGCAAGAATTAATTTTTGGATATTAAGCATCTCCTCTGATAACACTGATTTTTAATCTTCTCCGAGTCCGTTTCTGTATGTAACATACGCATGTTGCTATTAAGGTTGTATTATGTAATGCAATATTTTTTAAAAATTTCAATTTTGATGTACTGGTATATATTTTTTAAAAAATACTACTCAAAGGGAGAAAACCGATGAATTACATTTTGGGAGTGCAATCAAGTTAAAGTAGCTTCCCTTGGATCCAGCGCCCGAATAAAGAATGTAGCATGAATTAACACCATTATTATTCTTCAAGTTCACACAGCGGTTCTCAGCCCATGGGTTGCAACCCCTCTTGGGTTCGAACGGCCCTTTTCCAGAGGTAGCCTTAGACCACCAGAAAACATATATACTCAATAGTTTTGAAGTAGAATGAAAATAATTTTGTGATTTGGGGTTGCCACAACATGAGGAGCTGTATTAAATAAAGGGTCGCGGCATTAGGAAGGTTGAGAACCACTGAGTTAACACAATAATTCTATGGCGTCAGGCACTGCACCAAACACGGAGGGTATACTGTATCAAAATGATGTTTGATTTTAATTTGCAGCTGAGTGAAAAGCGCTATTTCGTGTCAGAGTACATGTACATATATATCAATATGTATGATAATATAGACCAATAATAAGTTCAATAAAATTACCACTTTGAAACTGTTGATGTATAGACAGTGTAAACTTTTAGATAACTCATCCATTGACAAACGTTCCAATTGTCGCTACTCACTTGTAAAAGTGTCAAAATTGTGATTACTTACCTGTTGACCGTGTTAAAAGTTGTGATTATGTACCTGTTGGTACCTGCTGACAGTGTGAAAATTGTGATTACTTACCTGTTGACAGTGTCAAAATTGTGATGACTCACCTGTAGACAGTGTCGAAGTCCACACTGCTGCTGAAGGTTTTTGCACTCTCTGCAGTCATCTGCCTGATAAGTTGTCTTCTCTTTCTGTCTTTGCTTCTCTTCCTTATAGGGTCGTCCTCAGAGCAACTTCCTGTACAGTAAACATTAAAAGTATATACTTCCAAGTTGAAAGTCTACCCGTCCACAAACCACACGGGTCAACGATTCCCTGCGTGAACGTAGACAGAAAAGTAGGATTGCTACGGTCCCTAGCGCGCAAACAGTTACCTGAGATTGACTACTGAAAAAATTACCCGATTCTGACTACTGAAAGGATTACCTGAGACTGACTACTAAAAGAATTACCTGCGACTATCTACTGACAGATTTACCTGAGACTATCTACTGACAGATTTACCTGAGACTATCTACTGACAGATTTGCCTGTGACTGACTACAGACAGATTTACCTGAGACTATCAACTGACAGATTTACATGAGACTATCTACTGACAGATTTACCTGAGACTATCTACTGACAGATTTACCTGAGACTATCTACTGACAGATTTACCTGAGACTACCTACTGACAGATTTACCTGAGACTATCTACTGACAGATTTACCTGAGACTATCTACTGACAGATTTACCTGAGACTATCTACTGACAGATTTACCTGAGACTATCTACTGACAAATTTACATGAGACTATCTATTGACAGATTTACCTGAGACTATCTACTGACAAATTTACATGAGACTATCTACTGACAGATTTACCTGATACCGAGGAGTCGCCAAAGGAACTAGAGGACGGGTACACGTCTCGCACTGTGTCCAAATACCTGGACTGTGGTGGGGTAGGAGAGGGCAGGGGCAAGAGCTGCTCCTTGGGGCGCTCTGTAAACAGGACATAGAGGCGATACATCTGAAATAAGAAGCTTGAAATATACACTAATGTTACGTTGTAGAAATTTTAGTGTATGAATAGGAGATAAAGGAGGAGAGAGATAAAAGGGGAGAGGGATGAGAGAGAGGAGACATAGAGAGGTGGAAAAAGAGATAAGAGGGGAAAGAGAGAGAGAGAGGGGGAGAGAGAGGGGGAGAGAGAGGGGGAGAGAGAGGGAGAGGGAGTAAGAGAAAGAGGGGGAGAGATAGAGACTGATAGAAGGGGGAGAGAGGGGGTTGAGAGGCAGGGAGAGACATTGGGAGTGATAGAGAGGGGTAGAGGGGAAAGAGAGAGAGAGAGGGGGAGAGAGAGGGGGAGAGAGAGGGGGAGAGAGAGGGAGATGGAGTAAGAGAAAGAGGGGGAGAGATAGAGACTGATAGAAGGGGGAGAGAGGGGGTTGAGAGGCAGGGAGAGACATTTGGAGTGATAGAGAGGGGGAAATCAGAGAGAGAATGGGAATAAGAGAGAGAGAGTGGGAAAAGTAGAGAGGGGGAGTATCATGCACATTCCTATTAAAAATCTGGACCACGCCCTCCCATTACTTTCTCACGTGGGTGTGGGGAAGAAAAAACAAACAATATGCTGGGCTGTGAATATTTTTGCCTCATTTGAGCGACCCACTTCCTGGTCTTCAAATAAGAATTGCTCTAACAAATATACGACATGGACGTTTTGCCAATCAACAGACTAAAATATGATTTATAATACGATAAATTTTGTGTGCGCATTTTTTTTAAAACAATATGTTTTTTTAAATAAATGTTACGTTGACCGTCCAAATGACAGAGCCAACCAGAGGTTCAAGTATAGACAACTAGCTGTTCCATTATTAGAATACACACCGAACCGCGAAACCTACCTGTAGAACTAGGACAAGAGTGTTCTTGCAGGTGAAGAAGATGTTGGTGTAGCTGAGGACGTCGTAGCGGAAGATGAGCAGCAAGCGCAGCACCAAGAACGGGGCGTCCTGGAGGGAGACGCTGATAAATATGGAGATCACCTGGGGAAAACACAACACAAAAATAGAGGAGGGCAGCTATGAGGTCTACATTGAAAGACATCACCAGCCTTGATATTAATATAAGGATCTCCCTTCCTCTTCCTTCTCTGGGTGTTTAACTCCTCATGGCTTGAGTGGATAGTTCCGGTCATATTAAATTGCAACGCGTGGTGAACATTTGCTAATGACAAAATTTAAGCTAAGCTCCAAATTCCTGTGCTTGACAGTACACCTTGAAACTTGCTTGAGACTTGCTTGAGACTTGCTTGAGACATGCTTGAGACTTGCTTGAGACTTGCTTGAGACTTGCTTGAGACTTGCTTGAGACTTGCTTGAGAGGATGTCGTGTTGTAGAGCAACACATGTAATCAACAGACAATAAACTTAGCGGCAGACGGCTCGCCGGTCAACCAATATTGAGATGGACTGACAACGTGGAGATGCCTTTACAAAAGGTGTGGAGGGGGAGGGGTTGCGCATGGAGGCAAAAAGCCATGGATCGATCTGAATGGAAGACTGTGGTGGAGCAGGTCAGGGCCCTACATAGACTGTGGAGTCAATGATGATGGTGTTTCAGAGGAAGACTGTGGTGGAGCATGTCGGGATCCTACATGGGCTGTGGAGTCAATGATGATGGTGTTTCAGAGGAAGATTGTGGTGGAGCAGGTCGGGAGCCTACATGGGCTGTAGCACCACTGATGATGGTGTTTGAATGGAAGAATGTGATAGAGCTGGCCAGGGCTCTACACATGGTGTAGTGCCACTGATGATGATAATGTTGAGGTTCAAAAGCGCTTCTCATCAAATAGTGTTCAGAATATTTTTTTAAGACAACAACAGTTATTGCTGCAAGCAACCGGAAATATATCAGTATTCAAATTAATATTATCATCACCATCTAAATAATAATGCAAATACCATCCTAAATGGACTAAAAAATTTAAAAAAACTACCTCAACAGGGCAACAGCCTTCACTGTTGACCGGAAGTGCAACGGATGCCCTGGACTTCTTAGATTTAGTAGCAGTTACGACAAACGTGAACTGGACGAGGCTGGCTGTCCACAGGGCCAGGATGACGATGGTCAGCAGTTTGTTCTCACGGACCGTGTTCTCCTGGCCACAAAGCAACAATCACAAGCTTTTCATTCTACAAATTATGATCTGTACCAACTTACAAAGTTGTGTGTTTACACAAAAATATGGTGGTTTTTAAGTGAAAGTGGACAAGCTGAGGCATAAAATATTTGTAGCCTACTCGTTTTTGTGACTCAGTAATTTTACGAACGGAAAACCTGATATCGAGGTGAATTGATGTCTTTTTGCAATTTTGCTAATTTTTACACCATGTGTTATAGCGCAGGTCAAAGCGAACTTAAAATTATTAAGTTATACCTGACACCGTCACAAATTATCAGACATTTAGCCAACATACACAAACATATTTTAATTTTTTTAAAACAACACCAAAAAAAAATTATTAAAAAAAACAATTACCTTTATCCCGGTAAACAATGGTAGCCACAATGCGTGAACTTCCCATCGACTAAAATGACTTGACTAAACATTCATTCAAGTAACGCACTTTATAAGATTCCCAGTTAGTGCTACACACTCCTCTCCCAACCCCACCCCCCCCCCTTTTTCCTGCTAATACACAGCTTCCCCTGAACTATATTTACATTATATTTCGCAATCACCTATTATACCGAAGATTTTCAACACGATATTTATTTTGAGACTTCATCGTTTAAATTTTAAAAAAAAGCATTAGGCACCAGACACACTTGCGCTATTTGTCATTACGAATCTCATTTCTGGAATTTATTTCTTAATCTAGTGGAAGCGTTAATCGCCTTAGTCGAATGTTACCAAGAGAATTATGAACGTTGATTACACGCCATAACTTTAAAGGGCGTCGACAGAAAAAAAACAACAAACTTACAGCAATTTACTTAACAAAGTATGTAATGAAAATACAATAAAAAGATATCAAGTGTCCTGCGTTGGATGCAATACGATATATTTGTGTGTGTGTGTGTGTGTGTGTGGAGGTCAAGGGGTAATTACTGTAACGAAGGGGCTAAGTATACTTTAAATATTTTGGAGTACTTTCTCCTCGCAATCCCCCCACCCCCCTCTTGTGTTCTTTAACGACACAATTTACCGGGTATAAAAAGTACCTATATATATCTTGTACACGCCCTTTGTTCAAATTGTTCACGGGAAATCCTAATAACTTATTCCGGTTTTTTGCGTCAGATTTAACCAATTTCACAGCAATTTTTTTAATTTAAAAAAAAAATTCTCCCGGAAAAAAACGTTTAATTACATTCTCATGACGGGGATTCCGAGATTTAATTTTGAGGCACGTTCCAATTGTGAGGTTTACTTAGCTTGGCAGACGAGCTGCCCGACACTAGAGAGACAGTACAAGCCATACATGGGCGCCCGCAGGGGGGCAAGGGGGGCACTTGCCCCCACCCTCGGGGTTGATTGGATAAAAAAATTGATTGGATAAAAAATTTTTAGACAAAAATAGACAAAAAATGTATTAAAGTAAAGAGAAAATAAAGAGAAAGTAACTAAGCTGGTGTCCTGTCCGTTCGTTCACCATACAAATACGCTACAGTAAATTAAAACTACATTAAAAATTACTAAAAAATTGATCACCTATAAAAACATAATCAATTGATTTTTTGCCCCCCCCCCCCCTAGAAAGTTTTCTGCGGGCGCCCATGAAACCATAACAGAGTCTATACATGGCATGCACCCACTGACCTTAAAAGCCTCGAACAGCTCGATGATGTCAGCGGCCATCCCGATGTAAACCAGGAGGAGCTGCGACAGCTGCTCCCTGGTGATCTCCCCCTTGGGGAGGAGCCACCGCCCCACGATGAGAATGAGAAGCAGCATCTGCTCCAGTATCTTGCACCACTCCTCGGCGCCAAGCGAGATGTTGAGGTTGATCTGAGGGAATTAAAAGCTGTGGAATTTACACAGTGGCTCCCAGAAGAGACCTCTGGACCTCGTGATCTAATGAGGGAGTCAAAAAACAAGCCCTCCCCCCCCCCCCCCCCCCCCCCCCCTAAATGAAGGAAAAGGGAAATAAGTCTGACAATTTTAGAATAAACTATTATCTAAATGATAGACTTTTGTATTCCATGTCTGTAGAAAATCCAAGTTGACCATATCAAGTATTATTAAGTTTTCGGGATGGGGGGGGGGGAGCAAAATCCAAACTGATAATAACAGAGTTTAATGGTGATCAAATAATAGAGCTCTTTCGCATTTCAAAATTGAATTTTTAAAGAAAAGTTTTAGAAATTTCAATGTATATATATATATATATTATCTATATGAAAACAGTTTCCTGTGTGACCATCAGTAACATGGTCAGAAGTGGAGATTCAATTCGTAGCTTATTAAATGTTTATTCTTAATGCAAGAACCGAAATGGGTAATTTTAACAAACTTGGCCAAGTGCCTCTACCCTCCCCTTACCCGTTAATGTAAATATACTCACAACATATAACATTTACCAGTAACACCACACAATAATGACACCACTAACGACTTTGCTTCTAACATTCACCACTGGCACCACACAATAATGACACCACTAACCACTTTGCCGTTAGCATTCACAACTGACACCATACAATAATGACACCACTGACACCACACAATAATGACACCGCTGACACCACACAATAATGACACCACTGACACCACACAATAATGACACCACTGACACCATACAATAATGAACACCACTGACACCACACAATAATGACATCACTGACCACTTTGCCGTTGAGCACGAACACCGTCTTTGTAGAGTTGTGTACCGGACGCTTGACCACGCTGTGCAGCATCAGCCTCTGGGCCATCAAGTCCAGCTCAAGGAACCAGATGGCCGGAATGGCGGTCGCCAAATACAGCACTACGCTAGGGCACACCCTGGGAGGTTGTAAATTGTGTTGCAGAAGTAGTGAGGGAGGGATGGGGTGGGACGATGGGGTGGGACGGTGTAGAACTGGCTTAAAATATTCCACATGATTCCAGTGTTGAAAGTGGATTTTTTATTAAGTTAGCGTCGCATGGAAAAAATCCAGCACCTGGGAGCGAGACATGGGGTGGGATGTTTTCGCTGCTGTTTTTAATAGAAGGATACAAATAACAATGAGACAGAAATTAGGATTTGCACAAGAAACGCGCGGTGTCTCAGAAGACAAAGTGGAGTGCTGTGAGAAAGTGCAGTGTCCTTCTTCGTGTTTTCCTCTTCCCTTGGTATAATTCTTAATAATTCGTACATGACTTAGAATGTCATAACAACTGACAGATGAATAAAAATAAATTCCTGAATGATCTGGCATCGTCAAGAAGCCAGCAAACATGGACATCATGATACGTCTATTTTATAATGTCTTCCAAAAAAATGGACTAAACAACAAATATTGACTTCATTACATAAAGTTTTTGAAGGCATTTCTTGGCATCGGAAGAGAATGACCCTTCAAGATGTGGGCCCAAATTACTCAGCACTATCTCCCATTTCTGTTTGATACTAAAACATCGTGCATCGGTTGATAGTATCCTGCCCCGTGGGTTTTCCCGGCAGGCAAATTTTTACGAAGTGTATCCCGAATTTACGTCGCGGTGCTTTTAGCCGGACTGTGAAGCGGGCGAACAAATCAGTTTTGGGGTGTCGCTTCGGGCCGGGGTCCACACTAAAGATATACGTTGGTGGGGCACGAACCCCGGGAACGCGATTCTTCGTGATTTGCCGTTCAAGAGTTACGCTCCGTCACGTTTCAGCTATTTCTATGCTCTATTGATTTTTCCTCTAATAAAATAATAAATCATTTAAAGCCTGAATATGCCAGATATATTTATATAAAAAAGGCATGACTTACCACTTCTACGCATGACTTACCAGTTCTAAACATAACTTACCATTTCCACTCATGACTTACCACTTCCACGCATGACTTACCGCTTCCACGCATGACTTACCACTTCCACTCGCGCCCTTTCTTCTTGCACAGCGTGTAAAAGGCCTCTGCCCCCAGCAGGGGGAGCGTGGCGCTCAGTGCCCAGTAGACGGCTCCTCGCTTGACCACCGTGACGCGCCAGATGCAGATGAGTCCGTGCAGGACGAAGAGGCACCGGCTGATCAACGCCTTGACCACGGACAGAAAGCGACGCGTCTTCTTGATGCACGACGCCATCTTTAGAATAAAATCACCATCCTTTGAGAATTGTTCGGAGCACTGGCGGGCCGAAACACGAAGGGGACGTACCCCTTTTCTTATCTAAAACTGTTCAAAAGTATAAATGATAACAGCACAGCAAAGTTTAAATTTCGTCAATTATTTACACTTGCATACGTGTCCAAATTTAGACTTAAGTTCATATAAGACATTTTAACGGTCAACGTCACCTTAATTCTCATAAAATACACACACACACAACGTTGCTAAACTTCTTTATATGTTTCAATAAATTATTTAAATCCGACATAAATAGAATATGGCTCCTAAATAATTTTTTTTTTAAACTGAATGATAAACAAAACCTCTAAACAGTAATTTTCAGTGCAGAGTTAGCTCGTAGTGCTAGGCACGGCCATTTACATATATTTGTTTTTCCTCATGAACTCACAAATCTATCAACGTTTAATCGCTGGGTGGTATACATGTATTCCACTGCCCAATGTCAGGCGCATAAAAGTACTCCATTGAGAAGAGCTCATTGAAGCAGCTATGTCTTCATAAATGCCATCGAAGTGTTGAACGAATTCACAATAACACATCGTCAACACCATACGAATGTCCATTGACCCACGCGGGGGGAAAAAAAAAAAAAAAAGCTTTGTAGTGAGTTCTAGAAGGTTAGCAAAACTCAGTCATAATGGCAAATCATTTCTTTTGTCTGGAACAGTTTCCAATAACCGACACTGAGTAACTCTGGCGAGGTGGCGTTTTTTTGTTTTAATGAGCGATGAACTGCGCCATACGATGGTTTTAGTGCCGTTGCAAGGGTTTTTCCATATACGAGAAGATGACCAAGTGGGCACCCCCTCTTGAGCCAGGTCAATGTTGTTTGTCTTCCTATTGGAAAGGGAAGGGGGTCGGGATCTCGGTGGGGGGGGGGGGGGGGGGGGGGGGGGGGGGGGGGGGGGGGGGGGGGGGGGCTGCTGTTCGAACGTGCCATGCTCCATGTTCACCCTTAATATAATCATCTCATCAACTGCGTTCTGTTCCTAGTTGTGTCCCCCCCCCACCTCCCTCTAAATCAATGCGTCCATTTGTAAAAGACAGAGACCGTATCCTCAAGTTGAAGATATTCGCATGCAGTCTATAGGTATACACCGATCATAAAAAAGTGAAGCGTACTTTTGAACTATTTTAGTAGAATGGGGGAAATGAAACAGACACACAGAAGAATGACTACGCAGATAATGTAAAAGAGACGTGCATGAACATAATCACAGATAATGAAGCATTCAGTTAGATGTACATAATGATAAACAGATGATTTAGTCAGACAACCACGATAATAAACAGATGGTTCAATCAGAAATACATAATGATAAATAGATGATTCAGTCAGACGTACATGATGATAAACAGATGATTCAGTCAGACATTCATGATGATAAACAAATGATTCAGTCAGACATACATGATGATGAACAGGCAGGCATACATATTATAATGAAAAACAGATGATCCAGTCAGACATACATTAATGATAAACGGATGATTTAGTCAGACATTCATAATGATAAACAGATAGCATTTATTTGTTTAAAAATGTAAACTTGACAAATATACAGTTTGAGAAATTAACAACTGGACGTTGAATTGTTGAAACTGTTGTGTAAATCGCGTACACGTTACAGGATGGTATTCTAAAGATAACAGGGGGATTACATTCATGAATGGATATACACAGAGGTTCTCATGCTTTTCTGAAAACGTACTTACAAGGCATTGTCCAACACTGACACACACGTAATTTTAGTAATTTTTTAGTCATGTATTTTCAATAATACAACTTAATTTCAGCGACCAGTCCATTCTTCTGCGTACGTGACATGTTCCAATGACCCATAACAAAAACAAATACTTCACGTAGATGCCTATTCAACGACACGTAGCTTTTCCGTTGAACAGATTGCGGTGGGACCTACCAATGCAAACGATACACGACCCGTGTGCCTTGTGTGACGAGTCAGTAAAATTGTCATCGAGCGGTAGACAACGCCAGTGAAGCAGCAAAGACATGAAGAGAACGTGTCCTTACCTTAAAGGCTGTTGATATTTTTTTTAAATCAGTGGTTCTCAACCTTCTTAATGCCGCGATCCTTTAATACAGTTCCTCATGTTGGGGTGACAACCCCCCCTCCCCCCAAATAATAAAATTATTTTCGTGGCTACTTCATAAATGTGTGTTTTCCGTTGGTCTTAGGTGAGCCTATGCAAGGGTCGTTCGATCCCCAAAGCGGTTGTGACCCACAAGTAGAGAACCGCTGTCTTATAATAATTATATGATAAGTTTTGTTTAAGGGGTCGTTCGGAAATTACGTCCCGCTAAAAATAACCTTTTTAGACTCCCCTCCCCCTTGTCACGAAGTGTCACACATTCTTTACCCCCCCCCCCCCCCCCCCCCCCCCCCCCCCCTCCCCCCCCTTT